CTACAGGAGAACTGTTCTGTACTACAGGAGAACTGTTCTGTTCTACAGGAGAACTGTTCTGTTCTGTTCTACAGGAGAACTGTTCTGTTCTGTTCCACAGGAGAACTGTTCTGTTCTACAGGAGAACTGTTCTGTACTGTTCTACAGGAGAACTGTTCTGTTCTGTACCAGAGGAGAACTGTTCTGTACCAGGGCAGAACTCTGGAGAACGTTCTGTTTGGTTATAGAAAACTGGAGAAAGTCCTGCCCATTACAGTGCAGAACGATGGAGAAGGTTCTACTTAGTTGCAGAGTAGAACGTATGGAACTGAGCAGATAAACATGTTTATTTCCTCTGGTTCTGTTTCTGTCTTTTTATCTGGTTTGTTTAGTTATAAATATTTCCACATTAATCTCTAATCATTAGTCAGCATTTTCCTTCCAGTAAGAAGTGAAGAAGTTGCTGAGTCATGTCATTCTGTATTATTCTGAACTGTCAGATATGTCAGCACAGGAAACCTGCAACGACTGTTAGACACAAAATAAAAACCAGCAGTTGTTTTTTACAGAGCAGGATCTGGTCCTGAGCGGCCTTCAGCCACTATGCAGCGAGGTGATGTTACAGAACACAGACCAACTGGAACGTTAGAACTGTTCTCAAATGTTCCCTTTAGATAAACAGTTTGACACATGATGTTTATTTTTCTGTCAGTTTTACAGATCCTGAGCTATAGTTTGATGTGGTAGTAGCTGAGAGTTTTTCACAACACAAACTCTGAGGTTTGACCACAACGGTTAGAGCATCACTTCTTTGCTAACATTTTAATGTTATTGAGCTCACTGCTCTGGTATTTTGCTCATTTTTACTAAAAGTCAAATTTCATTATTACATGTAAATCTTAAACTTAAATGTAAACATTGAGTATAAATGTTGTGGCTAAATGTCAAAGTTTGCATTAAAGTGTTTTAGAACGGAACACAGCCTTTGCTGTTGGTGTGCAGTTTTATGACGTCATCATCCTGAGACAAAAGCATCTGTTAATGCTGCTAACTCTAACTCTGCAAATGCTAATGCTGCAAACTCTGCTAGCAAGGCTAAATCTGTAAATGCTGCAAACTCTGCTAATGCTGCAAACTGTGCCAACGATGCAAACTGTGCTAATGCTGCTAACTGTGCTAATGCTGCTAACTGTGCTAAAGCTGCTAACTGTGCTAATGCTGCAAACTCTGCTAATGCTGCAAACTGTGCCAACAATGCAAACTGTGCTAATGCTGCAAACTCTGCTAATGTTCAAACTATACTAACAAGGCTAACTCTGTAAATACTGCTAACTGTGCTAATGCTGCAAACTCTGCTAATGCTGTAAACTGTGCCAACGATGCAAACTGTGCTAATGCTGCTAACTGTGCTAATGCTGCAAACTCTGCTAATGCTGCAAACTGTACTAACAAGGCTAACTC